ACAGAAAATATGGATGGTTATCCTATATATAGACGTAGAAATGATGGTTGAACTGTAGAAGTTAAAGGAATTCAGTTGGATAATCGTTGGGTAGTTCCATATAATCCTTATCTTACGACTAAATATGACTGTCATATTAATGTAGAAATTTGTTCATTAATTACAGCCATTAAATACCTTTTTAAGTATGTTTATAAAGGTCATGATCATGCTACTGTAGAGATTAGTGGAGGTGGTAATACAAATCAAATAAATAATAATGAAATAAGCTTATACCTTGATGCACGTTATATTTCAGCATCAGAGGCCACTTGGAGAATATTTCATTATCGATTGCATAATGAAAAGCCAGATATTATACAACTATCTGTTCATCTTCCAGGTCAACATAGAGTATTATTTCAAGGTAATGAACGTTTAGAAGATATATTAACCCGTTCAGCAGAAGAAAAAACTATTCTTACAGCATGGTTTCATGCTAATACTAAATATCCACATGCAAGAAGATTAACATATGCAGAATTTCCATCTCAATGGGTTTATAATAAAAAAACTAAAGAATGGAAGCCACGTCAACGGGGTAATTCAATAGGTCACATATATTTTATCCATCCTGTAGCAGGAGAAAAATATTACCTAAGAATGTTACTTAATGTAGTTCGTGATTCAACATCTTTTGAAAATATTCGTACAGTAAATGGAATATTTTATCATACTTTTAAAGAAGCATGTATTGCATTAAATCTGTTGCAAGATAATGAAGAGTGGAATCAATATTTGCAAGAGGCAAGTCAAGTGCAAGGTGGAGCACAACTGCGTAAACTATTTGCAACCATTCTTTTATTTTGTGAACCAACAAGACCTAAAATACTTTGGGAAAAGCATATTTTTGCTCTTAGTGATGATATTTTACATTAAGTTCGTCATAATTCTAATAATATGACACTCGAACTTACAGATGATGATATACATAATAGGGCTTTACATCATTTACAAGTCATTTTAAGTAAAAATGGACGACTTCTTACTAAGTTTCCAAATATGCCTATTCCACCTGCCATTTTTAATGATGAAAGTAATCGTTTAATTAGAGAAGAGCAGGAATATGATATTGAAGAACTTTTAAAACTTGCAAAAGATGATTTTTCAAGTTTAAATACAGAACAACGGGCTATTTTTGATGAAGTTATTAAGACAGTAGAAACTAAAACTCCTGCTATTTTTTTTGTGAATGGTCCAGGAGGAACTGGAAAAAACTTTTTTATATAGGTAAAAATTATTTTATCTTTTATTAGTTAATAATTACATATATTATAGATTGATTTTAATTTTAATTATATATATATACATATATATAGCAATTTACTTGCAAAAGTCCGTTTAGAGAAGCGTATTGCTATTGCTGTAGCATCTTCAGGTATTGCTGCTCTTCTTTTACCAGGCGGTCGAACTGCACATTCCTGTTTTAAGATACCTCTTGAAATACATGAAGATTCTACCTGTGCTGTAAAACATGGTTCTGATTTAGCTTTACTTTTGCAAGTTACACAGCTTATCATTTAGGATGAAGCCCCAATGGTTCATCGACATGCATTTGAAGCTGTAGATAGAATGTTAAGAGATATTATGAAAGCTGTAGATTTATCCTTGGAAAACCAACCATTTGGAGGTAAAGTAGTGATATTTGGAGGTGATTTTCGTTAGATACTTCCAGTAGTAATAAAGGGAAGTTGTGAAGATATTGTAGGATCTTGCTTACGACGATCAGCATTGTGGAAATATGTGAAATTAATGACATTAAAAACTAATAAGTGTCTTCTTCGTACTGTAAATGAGCCAGATGCTATTGAACAAGAAGAATTTGCCAATTGATTATTAAAAGTTGGAGAAGGTCAAATTCCTACTATTGATGGATTAGCAAATAATATTATTCAACTTCCAAATGATATTGTTTTACAATCACAGAACATCAATGATCTTATTCAATTGATTTATCCAAATCTATCTATTAATTCAAATCCTAAATATTTGGTTGAACGAGCAATACTTACACCAAAAAATGTAGATGTATATTCAGTTAATACAATTATTATGGATCAATTTCCTGGTGAAGCAGTTGAATATCTTAGTGCTGATGCAATAGAAGAACAATCAAATTCAGAATATCAGTATCCCATTGAGTTTTTAAATTCCATAACAATTGGTGGACTTCCACTTCATAAATTAGTATTAAAAAAAGGATCTCCAATTCTATTATTACGAAATATTAGTCCATCAGATGGCCTGTGTAATTGGATAAGGTTAGTTTGTTGTTCTTTTCAGAAGAATTTTATTGAGGCAGAAATTATTACTGGAAAACATGCTGGAAAATGTGCTTTTCTTCCATTTGTTACCCTGTCTTTTACAAATGCTACTTTACCTTTTACTTTTAAGCGTCTTCAATTTCTAATACAACTAGCTTTTGTAATGATTATTAATAAGTCACAGTTTTATACATTAAATTGGGTTGTATTATATCTTCCAACTTCTGTATTTGCTCATGGACAATTTTATGTTGCTTGTTCAAGGGTAACAACAAAAAAAAATTTAAAGATAATTACCACTAAAGATGATAATAGAAATTTAATAAATTGTACTTATAATATTATATATCTAGAAGTTTTCAATAGTTAGAAATTATAGTAATACTAAAAATTGTAGAAATAAATGTAAAATGTAAATTTATTTATATAGTTTATTATTTTTTATATATAGATTTATTTTACATTATAATTATTATTATATATATAAAGTAAAGAATAGAATGTTGATGTAGTCAACAGGTACTACTAGTATATATTAAAAATAAGAGCAACGGGTGGGTGGAAAAGGAAAAATAAGTGGTTTTCTGTTTTTTTATAATTTTACACTATAATTTTTGTAATAATCAATAAAAGTTATTTCATTTTTACTTAGAAAATTTTTTAAAATATTTTTTTTGACAAATTTTACAGTAAATTTTAAAAATAAAAATTCCGCGTATTGGTGGCGTTACAAAAAACATGAATAAATCCATAAATATCTATTCAATTATAATAAAAATTTATATGTAAATAGATTCGAACCTGCTGAACAACTATACATAAGAAGGTTTTGGATGTTTTCTTTGACTAAAGTGCCTAAATTACGCTCTGAAGTCACAGAACAGATATACGAAATATTAATAAGAAACATTTATAAGTTGTAATATTACAAAAAAATAATAATAACTTTATCCATACATTATTTCAAAAATTTTTGTTTTTTTAGTTTTTTTTATATACATATTTTATAAAAAAAATTATATATAAATATATATATGTCATAAAATAAATTGCTTAGCAGTGTAAAAAATTTATGGATTAGATAAAAGTTTGCTTAATAGACATGAAAAATATTTGCTTATTGACCTTAGTAAATTTTGAATTTTTTATCTGACCTATATATATATTGTTTGGGGTCCTATCTGGATTAAAAGCTTGGGTAATGGTAATATAAATAAAAAATAAAAAAAAACCAAAAGTAACCTTTGAAGATCATAAGATTATCGTTAAAATGTTGTATTCAAATATGATTGGTTGTGATCATGTAGTGACTTACATTGTGCTATTAGAGCATTATGCCAAAATTATACTGAAATGCTGAAATGGTTTCAGAATTTTGGTAGTTTCAGCTGTTTTTAGCATTTTTAGTTGCTTGCCAAAACCTAGTTTTGGCAGTTTTGGCGTACTAAAACTCCTTAGTTTTGGTAAGCAACCTTAGCTGATAATAAAGACCTTTGTCATCCAAATCTCAGGATTTAATGATTAATCCAATTCATCCATCTACTATTAATTTGTGATGTATAGCTTGATCCAATATTAAAAAATACTAACCCTCCTGTAATAAAGCAATCAGTTAAAAAAATATTAGGTCTGAAAATGTATTAGATGTGCGAAGCAATTTAGCCAAAACAGAGTTCAGGTTTAATTTAGCCGATACATGTTGATTGAACTAAGCATAATTATAACTAATATATATTTGTGCAATGTCCAATATTTCAGTTAGATTGCAAAGAATGTAAATTGAAGTCATGTGACCCCATTCCTATTAACCAAGAAAAAATTTTGTGAATAGGCACAGTAGACTTCTATGTAAATGCCTACAGCTGACACTTTTATTTATTCACTTTCTTCTGATTATTCTGATTCGCATTATATGCATTATATGCTCATTCACTTTCCTGAAAAGCCAAAAAACCTGATATAGTTAGCTTGATACGAAGTTAGAAAAATATGTTCTTTCAGTAAGAATTTTTCTGGCGCATTTCAGGTGATCGATCTCACATGATGAAGTTACTATACTATGCATATTATATTTTGCAGATATAATCCACTGCACATGATATGGGTTAAATCTTACCCTGTAAAAAATCTGATCTGTGTTTTATCTTTTCATGCTTTTTATAAATGTATCATTTTCATGGAATTAATAACCTCAAATCATGAAAATTTTCATCTCGCTAACACGAATATCTGTGAATGTATCATTTTCACAGAATTTTTACAGAAGACATGAAGAAATAATGGAAATATTCAGATAAAAATTTTTTATAGGGTCGGCAAGAATTTTCCTGATATCATCAGACCTCTCACATGACTATTTTTACTTCGCTTACGCCTCTACTGCTATACTTTTGACCTGGGTGCAAAACTTTATTTTAAACACAATATGTTTTGAGTTCACAAATGCAGTAAATAATGAATATTTTGCAATGATGTGCACAATTTTTTTTTTTTGCATTAAATAACTAAGCTGTGCATTTCAAATACAAATTATTTAATAATCAGCAAAGATAATTATCAAGCATAAATCGATCAAAATGTGTCATATAAACTAAATCAGTGATGCTTCTTCCTTGAGCTCTTCTTTTTCTTACGTTTCTTTTAACAGGAAAGGTATAGTGTTCGAGTGATGTTGAAAGAAAATAAATATAAAAATTTTTAAAATGAGTAAATTTTGCATATATTATCCTTAATTTCTACATAAACATTTTTAAATGAATAAATTTTGTACATACCATTCTTAATTTTTTCAATAGTTCCTACATCAGGTCTTAGGATCCATGGCACCCAGTCAGTTGCAAGTCCTTTTGCCACTCTTTCCACTCCTTTGAAGTAATTCCCAAGAAACCATAATGCATCTGTTATACCGTCCAAATTAAACACGCGATTAAAGCAGTCCAGAAAAAGCATTCTGTAGTAAAATTTCCCAATGATGATGATATGATCGAAACTATACCTATTAACTTCCTCAATATAACCGGTAAATTCTTCTTTTATATAACTGATATAGTCTTCTTGATTTTATCGTGGAGCTTGTAGCTGAGTGAGTTTGCAATATAGCAACAGTTTGGATTCATAAAAGTTTCAACTACCATGTAAAATTATTGCGGTACCCATGTATTTCATTCTTCTCATCACTCACCGATACTTGCCACATGGAAACATTATCCTCATTTTTTCAAATTTTTGGTCGATCATCTGGGAGTACAAGGTGGCACAGCTTTTTCTTGTCCCACCAAGGTATCGATTCAGAGCAATTGCCCCAAAGATGAAGACAGATCTCAGATTCTATATTCTCTTCATCACTATTAGGTAGTGGTCATTGTATATGTTGACCGATAGTCTTCCACTGCAAATTGATGCCTGAACATGAACCATATTATCTCCTCGTCTTCCACCAAAATCGCTGTTGATGAGCAGAAAAACCTCACCACTTCCATCATCTTGATTTTGTCGGTCAAGCTGACTTGCATTCTGCCAAGGTAACTTGTCTTGATAGCTCATCCCATCCTCGAAACCCATTTTCATGAGATAGTGTGTCCACACCGTTACCATGAGAACTTGGCGACAAAACGGTGGAGTCATACATTATAAAAGTATTTATACAGGTTAGTTTAAATATTACATATTTTAAACAGATTATTTGATAAATGACTTAGATTCAGATTCAAAATTAGATTTTTCTTGTTTGATAAATAACAGTCAAATTTTTTTTAGAAAAAAAAATATACTGTATAAAATAAAAAATTATAATTTTATTATATACTAATAAAATTTTAAATTGATAAAGAAATTAATTTTGTTAGAAAACTTATTAGTTTTTTAATTTGTTAATAAATTAATATATTTCTCACATATTAATTACTGTATATACAAAAATTTCTATTATTAATTAGTAATTTTTAAAATGTGTAATAAGTTTTTAATTAATATTTTATCAACTTATATATACATTTCTATATTAAATGCAGGCATCCTTAACTTATGCATCATGTAACAAATTGATGGTATAATATAATTGATACATACACATGCTGCATACATTAAGGAATCTCATTAAGTACTACTATTACTGTAAATCCAAACAAGAGTAATATGTAACATAATGTTAAATTAAATAACAAAAAAAAATAATAATATTTTATGTTGACCCGCTTACTGCCAATCTAAATAGAAAAATTAAATTAGTGCAATTTTTATTAAAATTATATATATATTTTTAAACTTACTTTTTCAAATGTTCCATAAACACTTGTAAACTAACATCATCGGTAAAAATAGCTTGTCCTTGTGGTGTCCCATACATGCTTCCAGAAACATGTGTAGTAGAAGGATTTAATTTGGAAAGTAAAAAGCGAGCTTGTGAGCCATGTTGGTCACAGACAATATAACGAGGAATAGGAAATCGATCCGCCAAAAGTTCCTATTATGATATAATTTAAATTTATATTAACTAAATTTATTTTTTGAAGTAAATTAATTAATATTCACCTCCGAATCGGCCTTTGGTGCTTCTAGTAATTCTTTGAAATTTTCATAACCTTCTTGGTCTTGATATCCTGCTTTCCTCCATTGAGCAATTGTCTCACCATGGAAAATAAGAATATGGAAAAATGTATCAAGTAACAAAATAACATCAGGTTTTATAGAAATTGAATCTAAAAGTACTGGCTGTGGTGGTTGGACGAAACCGTAAGACATAAGCGTAGGTTGAATCATGATCAGAGAATTATTTACATCTTCATGATTTAATACATGGCTAAAACAAGGAAATAAAAATTTAGTCTTTAAAAGAGTCAAAATAAATATATTTAGTAAAATACGTACCGATAGAAGGCTGTTTCATCAGGGCTGTTATTAAAAACCTGTAAAAATTGACTTCTTCTAAGGTGGAACATAAATTGAGGATATATAGAGAAGTTTGTTGCAAGGCGAAATGATGAAGGATCTTCCTTTACATAATCAGCAAACTTTTGACATAAACGAATCAACATGCGATCCAACCATCTCAATACATCTGGTCCATCATCAATTTCTGCCTTGAATACTGCAATACGAGCCATAAGAACAGCAGCAGCTTCTTGATCAAAAGATTGAGCAATTTGTGGACTATTTCCTTCAGCAAAGTTCCTGGCAACTGTTGTAACACGCAATCGGAATTGTCCACTAGAATGTTGGTAATGAGTTAAAAATTGAATCAATCCACGTGAACCAGGTTGAAGTGGTTGTCCATGTTGACTGACTACTTCAAAATATACCGCCACTGTAGTCTTTGGGTTTATTCCACACATTTTCCACGCTGATGTGTTGGCAATACCAATTTCTGTCTCTGCAACTGATGCACTTTTTTTATTGGCTGAGATAGCATGACCAATTAAGCCACATACTCGCATTTCTCGTGTAGTCTTTTATTAAAAAGAGCAAATTTTAAATAAATGACTTTAGAAACTGGACATACAATTATCAGAACTTTAGATACCCATACCTGAACATCTATAGTTGCATTGAATCCCATTTGTAAGTTGCTTTGTGCATCTTTATTAAAGATTCTCTGAAAACTTTGTTTGAAGATAGCAGTTGTGAAAGAATCAGAGAGAATCATAAATCCTCCAGTGGAATTTACCAGCGATTTCATCTCAAGCAATCCAACCTGGTCAAGACATCCAGCAAAGATATCAACAATATGACCATTTGCTGATGCACGTTTCGCTAAAGCTTCATAAAACTGAGATTGAGGAATATACATTATACATTATTTACATTATTTTCATTTCCAGATAAAGAATGTCAAAGTAAAATTCTTAACTATGAATAATTTAAGCAATGTTCAAAATAGAAAAAAAAACATACCTTAGTAGCCTTCTTATAGTATTTTACGTTATCCTTCTCAATATCATGGTGAGATCGAATTGGTTCTTTTAATTCATTACCCACAACCATACCAGGACCTTCTGTTGCAGCACCGCCGCAGAATAGCATAATACGTGCACCAGTGTTCGAGTAAGTGGCCTACATGATAATAATATAATTAAATATTTACTAATTTACTTCAATCAAGCATCAACTTTTGAAATAGCACACCTCCATTAAACCAATGGCCACGCTCATTGCTACACCAGTACATCTTTGTGGACGTTTATCATTGGCAACTGGCCAAGGATCACGTTGAAGTTGCTCCAAAATAGATGTCAATTGAAAATCGCATTGCTCAACTGGTAAAAGAAACCTGTAAATTTTTTAGTTAAATTAATTGTTAAATAATATATTATTTTAAAAATCTCTAAAAAATTTCTTACCGGCTGGCACTCAAATTTTGAGCAACACCAGGCTGACCAGTCCTCTGCATCGCTGGACGCACCCCAGGTCCTGACAAACCAAGCATTTCTTGAATTTGTTTAGATGAAAACTCTTTAGTTCCGCGGAAAACGTATGATTTTGGACATTCACTATAACCAAGTTCATGAACTTGAGTCTATATATATAAAAATTCAATAATCAATTCACATAAATTTATATACAATATGATTAAGTCGACAAATTAACCTACCATAGTACCAAACGTAATAAGACCAACTAATGCCTTGGGTGGTAATAAACTTAAGCTGACGACCAAAGAGTCTTTCAATGCTTTCAAATCGTCATCTTCTAAGCAAGTATCCACCACAAACAAAAAGATTGGAGGAACTTGAGAAGCACGGGAAAGAGTATATTCAATTGTAGTAAACTTAGGCAACAACTCGGCAGGAAGATTAGTGTTAGAGATATCTTTATAATGAGGAGGGAATGCGTTTCTTTGAAGGCAGAAAGGACAGATCCAAAGTTTGCCGCGAACATCAATTTGACTACAAAAAATCCTGATTAATACACTGTTGAAATGAAACGAACAACTTGAAACTACTAAACTACTAGATAACTTTGCTAGATTAAGACCTAGTAAAGTTCACTAAACAAAAGAGCATCTATTCACCAGTAAGGATTCAAAATTGCCCGACAAGGAGCTTTACAAGTTACTGGTTCATAATAAATTGGTGGTAGATCTTCCCTCTCTCTAAGTGGAGTGTAAAGACAAGATATAGGAACTACTATTCTTGTAGCATCCAAGCGGGAAGCCGGGAACACATTCCAAGAGAAGCGAGTTCCATCTTGTTCTTCGATTTCTTCAAAATTCATTTTCCAAAGGATTTTTACAGCTATTACCACACAAGTTCACTTGTAAAGAATATTAAGGATTTTTACGTGAAGCTTTTTGTGTGGCCGATAAAATTGGTGTCAATCTACATGTGATTAATGATTTACGTTTCATGATTTAATAGGTTATCTGATAACCAGTAAAATAATATGTATCTTAAATCTTTTTTGTTCTTGTGCAAAAAATAAAAAAAGTAAAAGAAAATGCCTATTGCTCCAATTACTGGTAAACTTCGCAAAACACTTATCACCGATATTGCTATTGCATTCGGTCTTGGCATTGGTGGTGGATATGCCTACTGGTACGGAATACATGTTCCTGTGGATCAAAAAAGAGAGAATTTTTATGCTAAGCTTGCGAGAGAGAAGCAACAAAAACAATGGTAAGTTATATTATTTATTCTTTTGAGAAACGTTCACATTTTAATTTTATGATTATTGTTCATATTAGATTGGACCTTCTCTTTCAAATGCCTATACTTTTTCAGACATTACTCATGTAAAACGTAAATAATTTCATAATTTTGGTTTTAGTTTTCAAAAGAGTTTATTCGTAATGTTTTATGCAAATTATTATAACGTCCGAATGGCAAATCCTATGATACGAAAATTTCTTCACATAAATTAAATATGTATATAAAATAGGTCAAACCAAATTTATATAATATTGAAACTGATAATAAAATGCAAAAAAACTCGATAAAATTATAATTGTACAAGTTAAAATAAATAGACTAATGTTTCATAGAAAAATGAGATATTGTGTAATAATGAATTTTTTATCCTAAATGAAGTATGATAAATAATAATGTGTCTATGCAAGAGTCTATAATGAGTAAAAACGATACAAATACAATATCACAAAAACAACAATAATGTAAAAAAATAACGACATCTCTCTTACGATCATGTCAAGTTTATGGTAAAGCAATAAATTTACCACTAGAAACTTGACATGATATTTCTTGGAATTTAAAATTACTTTTAAATTCCTCTGAATTATCGTTATTTTCTTGTTCCTTTATACCATTTCCATTTTGTGCAGATGGAACAATTTCTATAGAAATATCACTTAATAATTGTCCTTTACATAAAAATCTAACCGCAGTAGGCGCCGGATTAGATGCTTTTTCTGTTTCAAAACGTGCCAAAATTCTTTTTCGCTCAGGGGGAATAGAAAGATCCATGTCATCAATTTGCCAATACATACTCTGCTTCTCTACACTCCATACTCCAAGTGGTTTAGATTGTACATTTCCAACCTGTCCGTCAACAGGTACTATAAAGGAAAGTTGTGAGAGTTTTCCAGTGAGTTTGCACTCAGAATTCACTTGATATGAAACAGCCAATGATGTTAAATTGGGTTCACATTTCCAATGTGGGGTCACTTGAAGCGGTAAATATTTATCTTTGCTTTCTGGGTCTATATGTGCTTGATATTTCATTACAGTTACTGGAGTTCCCCCTAATAATCCCGGATTAATTTCATATTGATCCACATAATCTGGTACAGGATGAAGATATGATGTATTGGGTGCAGATTTTACTAATGTTTCAAAATTCTTAATTCTAATCCTGATTGGATGTGAATTATCTCGTATTGTTGAATTATATTGTATACCTATTTCACCAGTTATAAGTATTTTCGTAATCTCACCATCCTTAGATATTATGTTTACAGTTTCGGAAATTGAAGCCCGCAATCCATGTGATTGGGTTTCTGAACCAGAAGCAGCTCTCGGGTGACTGGTAGTCTCCGGGAATTCACATGAAGTTGGTGAAGAATTCAATAAACTGCTCCTATTAGCAGTACTTGTGTCATCATCATTTGCACTCATTATAGTAGTTCTCCTTTGACTAAATAAAAATATAAATTATTAACAAAATTAACATAACATTTTAATAAAAGTTCTTAACGTACTCTTTTAAACCACGAAGCGTGCCTTTTTTTGCATTAGGTGTCTATTATAAAAAAAAAATTAATAAGAATACTTAGATTATTATAATTAGCATATAACAGTAATTATTTCCTTACTGAATTGAGATGTTTCATAACAAGTGACATAGCAGCAGCGGCTTCTTCTTCATTTTCTGGGACAACAGTTGGCTTAATCTCAACACGCATCTTATCCTGAGCCGATGAACTATTAAAAATTGACAGATTAATATTAATAAATTGATGATAGTTACTAAAACTAACATACCTCGCAGCCTCTGATCGTGCATCTGAATCATTTTCTTCATTTGAAGAGGAAAAATTATCCCATTTAGGTTCAGGTGGAGGTATTGAGTAACCTTCTGAATCCACGACTACTTTTGGCTAAGTATAACAATCACTTAATGAAGAATAACATTTCATAGACAAAGTATACTATAAAAATATTAAACATACCACTGAAACTTCATGGTGTGATGATGTATCATTATTGAATGAGGCACTTGATGGGCTTCTCAAACCATCACTGTGAGAGTCAATAGATTCTATTTTAGGATGGAAAGTGGCTTCCCTTTTAAGTATCATACAATATTAATAGTCATTATTACAATTAATGATTTTTTTTAAAAAAATTATTACTTTAAATAAATTAGACATACGAATAATTTTGAGAAATTGTTCTTTTACGTTTAATTGAAAAGGCAGATTTTACTGTGTTATGTAAAGTTATTTAAAATTAATAATTAATAATAGAAAAATAAAAAACAAATAAAATAAAAGTTCTATGAAATTCGAAATTACTTACATTGATTTACGGTACCTGTAGATGATGATGATTCATCTATAGATCCTCCTACAAGTAATATTAAAAAGTAAAAAATGTAACAATGTCAACTCAAGCAACTTTATATAATCTATTATAGTAAATCCACACGATCTTATTTTTAATAAGTGTCCACACAAAAGATATTTGAAAAAAACCTTCAACGAGTAGCCCTTTCTTGGAACAAAAATCCTCAATTTCTTTTTGAATATCAAAATCCACAACTGTTCCCAAAGTTTTTTCAGCCATCTAATAATAAACGGCATAAATGTTAATAGAGAATAATAAAAATTGCAACAAAAGTAACTTACCTCAACACGTCTTTGACAAACATCTTCTTGTATAGTTTCAAAGCGTGCCAATGTTTCTTTCAAATTCACCAAACGTGTTAAATCAATAGCTTGGGTTTTCTACATAAGATTACATAAGATTAAAAGTTTAGTCTTATATTATATCTTGCTATTTAGTCTAAAATTAACTAACCTCAAGATATGTTGACCAACTCTTTTGTAACTCAGCTTTTGTTTCTTCTAAAGCTTTTTGTGCTTCAGCAAGTTTAGTTTCTTATAATAAATTAATGAAATTATTTTTTTGAATTCTTAATTTATTGCAAAAGACTTTAAAATAATTAAATGTCTTACCAATTCCATCTGCCTTTTTGCTAGACTTACTTTTAGTAATATGCTGTAATGAACAGATAATAAATTAATAGCGAGTTAAATGAATTCACTATAAAACAGAAAACAGTATACCTTATTAACTTTTTGTAATTTTTCTTCATAGTCCCGTGTTAATTTACCTAGATTACTTTCATGCTAATATTATATGACTTTAAAATGAGTTGATGTTTAAATAGTTACTATACTACTTAAAAAATTGAGTCATACGTTTTTCAATGTTGACCATTCTGGATCAGTTGTTGCTTTTCCACGTAATGGAACTTCTACTTCCTCTGATATTTTGTCAATAAAATGGGTCTGGATCTTAATTATCTCATGGAGTTCATTGAAAAGAGTATCCCATACATTTGCGAAGGTACTAGAGTTAAGAAAGAAATAAGTAAAGAAAGAATAATTGAAGTATAAATGAAATAAACAAGCTTACCCCAAACTATTTCTATCAACGAATGTTTTTGTTGCTAATCGTTGAAGTCCTTTAACATAATCTTCTTCGATCTTAACACTATAATGCAAAACAATATATATAAATTAATACACACAATTCGAAATTAAATCCAAGCCTTAAGAGCTTGATAATACGATTAATACAGTACCGATCCTGAAAATAAGTTGCAATATCATGGTTTAATGCTTTTGCTCTTTTTAGTCTTAATTGTACGGAGTCAAAAGCTTTTTTCGGATTATCATTCTAGTTTTGAAAAAAAAAACTATTGAGAAAGTGAAAAAGATACTTTAAATTATGCTCTAATTAAATTTAAAATTATACCAGAAAAGCTTGAAAGTACGGCATTCTAGCTGGTACTAGCAAGGTTTCTTGATTATAAAGGTGAAGGTGGTGGTCTTCCTGTTTCCAACAGTTATTTTCAAAAAAGCGAGTGTCTAGTGGATTTCCTAATAAAGTTTGGTTAATTTGACGTTACATAAAATCTTTAAAATCTTAATTTTAGTGCATCAATATACAGTGTTTAATCTTAATTTAATTATATGCTTTAATACATTAGATAATTTTAATTTTACAGCTTCTATAAGATAAAAGTCTCTTAATAAACGTTCTCTAAAAATCAAAGCAAGACAATTGTATTTAAAGATCAATTCAATAATTTAAATAGGATCATTTAATATCAATTATAAAGTATGGAATTGTCGTAAATGCTTTTTCTTTTTTTGAAAAAAAAAAAAAAAAATCTCTTGAGAATGTTTCTTTTGTAGTTAAATTAAGAACCTGCTAAATTATCTCAAAATTCAGTGATTATTCGTATTTATATAACAGTTCATATAACATAACTTACTTTGATAATAAAAACAATCATTGAGAATTTCTATTTATATTTCTTGGTCGCATGGGGGCTAATGCTCTTACATCAGCGAATTTTGCTTGGCCCTCTAAAACCATTTCTGCAATTACTCGCCCTGTACCTGAAGAATTTAAAATTCCCCAGACAGAATGACCAGTTGCAAGATAAACTCCATCTAGCCAAGGAACTTTACCAATTAAAGGTTTATCGTCATCAGATATAGGCATATAACAACATGATTCTTTAATAACAGGTGCAACACCCAAGATTTCGGGAGAAAGAGTATTTATGTTGCTTTTAAGATTTTTGATTGCTGTAGGATTTGGAACATATTGATCAGCACTAGGTGGAAGTGGTGACTCATCGCATTCTCCAGAAATATAAACTTCACCATCTGGACGAGGATAAATTTCTGGTTCGGCAAATTTACGACCAAGATTAAGTGATACAAAACAAACATGTGCTGATATTGGTACTGAAGGTCTTATTACAATACTGTGAGCTCTTTGACCGGAAACATCCGGAAGTTGATATGCACGACCACTTTTTTTGACAAGCCATGAAAGAGCTTCCCCACTCCAAGGACCCATCGCTATAATAATTGTATCGACAGATATAGTTTCATCTGTAGAAAGTCTAACTCCTGACACTTTATAAGCATCAAATTCTAGTCCTTCAACGCGTGCAATTTTAACTTGAGCCCCTCTAGACTCAGCTTCTTCTATTAACGTTTGAGTAAATTTATATGGGTGAAGTTGTGCTGTTGTCTTTGTTGTACCAATTTGTTTATACTTTGTAATTACTCCTGATTTTAGCCAGTCCGTTGGAGGTGCTTTAACGCTTACAGCTTTCATCGAGGCTGTTACTGATAAAGTATCAACAACTCGATAATCGTACCGTTTTTTACCATTTAAAGTTTTAGCAAGTTCAGCATGCAACTTGAAACTTTTGCGTGCAAGATCTTGAAGTGGACCTCCGTCACACCAGTCATAAGATAAAAAACCTCTTTAGGAAATATCAAAATGTTTAATTAGTTATATACATAGTAAAACTATAATTTAAAAAAATAAGGGACGGTTTTTTTTGAAAATAATAGTAAAAAGAATCCAACAAATACTTGTACTGTACCCTGCTCTACCAGAAGCGGCACTGGCAATTGCGGTTTGCTCTATAACAGTTACTTTTAAATTAGGATCTCTATTGAGTAATGTAATATGATATGCAATGGAAGAACCAATAACGCCTCCTCCAAGGATAGCGATATGACGGCTCACAGACTCTGTCATTTTTTTTACAGTTAAGAAAGGAGTGAGTAACTATCAATTAAACGTCGAGATAAAGAACCTTGAAAATAATTTTCAATTTATAGAAAGCTTTCTGGCTTGCCAATCATCAAAAAGAATTCTCTTTATACTCGCGTAAAAAAAAAAAAAAAAAAAAAAAAAATATATAGTAACGCGCTTTGCAAGTTGATCTGCACAACAGTTTTTTTTTTCAAATATTGTAGACGTCACTCAGAGCATGTACGATAAGACTGATCGTCGATAATTTCAAAGGACTGCGGCGAAGTGGCGAGCGATAATCCTGATAATCCTGTACTCTGTTTTAATTAAAGGCAATAAAACATGATAAAATGTGAAACTAACACGAAAAAAAACTATCTGCAATTAAAAAAAAGAGAAACGAATCGGAATTACCGGATACAAATAATGATGACGCGTAATGCAAGTTTATTATAATAAGAAACGCCATTCAACTCCGTTCAAATTTCAGCCTTGATTAAAATAGAAAGAGCAAAAGACATCAACATTTCTTGGCGATTTTGTATTTATGTGACGTGACACAAATATCTTATCATGTTTGAGGCTTGACAAAAGGATATAATAATTCCGTATAATGTTGATTTAATTAGGCTAAATTTTGTTTGTGCACACCCTTTTTTGGGGAAAATATTGTTGTTTGGTGTAAGTCACTGCGCCCAATTATATATTTTTCAAAGTTGACACAACTTCTATTACTTTCATCTTTAGCCGAAAAAAAGGCCATTGGCTAAAATTCAAAGATTGACATCTTCACTAGCCGCTCCTAAAAAGGGGTCGACATCATACATTGTCAAACTTTCAGAAAATACTCCTCTCGACAAAAAAAAAAAAAAATTAGTATAAATTCAAGCATTTACTTCGTTGAATTTTTTTTTTTTTAACATCTGAAGTCTACAGTTTTTGCAATGGTAAGTCTTAGCTATATTTTAAGCGTAGAAAAGCCGCGTCTACACATGTGAACAAAGAAAACATGACCAAAAAGCAAACTTGAAATAAATTATAGTCTGATATTTTTATAACGAAAAATACAGCTTTGTAGTTATTATTTGATAAAAAGTTAATATTTACAACTTACGCTTAGCTGACTATTTGACAGAATTGGGAGTGTTGCTAAAAAAGAAAGATACTCAATTATTAAAAAGTGTATACATATGTGTACGTACGTACTTTTTATCTAGATAGCACTCAAAAATTATTTATATATTTATTCAATAGGATCAATTGTCAGAAGAACAAATTGCGGAATTTAAAGAAGCTTTTTCTCTATTTGATAAAGATAATGACGGCACTATTACCACAAAAGAACTCGGTACTGTTATGAGATCTCTTGGTCAAAATCCAACGGAGGCAGAGTTGCAAGACATGATCAATGAGGTCGATGCTGATGGTAACGGTACAATTGACTTTCCTGAATTTCTTACGATGATGGCTCGTAAGATGAAAGATACTGATTCTGAAGAAGAGATTAAAGAAGCCTTCAAGGTATTCGACAAAGATGGTAATGGATTTATTTCTGCTGCCGAATTGAGACATGTCATGACAAATCTTGGTGAGAAACTTACTGACGAAGAGGTTGATGAAATGGTAATATGAAATTTCATGTTATTATTTACTAAATATTTGTTTGCCTAATTTTTTGTTATTGCATTATTGATTTATACAATATTCCTTTAACAGATTCGTGAAGCCGATGTTGATGGTGACGGTCAAATTAATTACGAGGAATTCGTCAAGATGATGATGACCAAGTAATCTAGTTTATAAACAAATAAAGATATTATAACCCTTAATAGCAATATAAACGAGCTTCAAAATAAAAGAATAGGTTATGGTAAAAATAATTCGCTATTTTAATATTTGATAATATTTGATTCTCGATTATACATTTTTTATTTTATTTGTTTTTTTTTGTTTTTATACATTTGTTTAATTTTAAAAGAAAATTATTCGCTTTATTTTCTCGTATATTGAAACAAAAATATTTATTTAATATACATATATATTACTCACCTTTAATTTTGTTATGGAAGGGAATAAGTCCTTTTTTATCTTTTATATGTCCTGTCATTTTTGTCATTTTTGTTTATAATGAATGTATCCTTATTACATATATAATTTTCCATAAAATCAAATTAATCAAAAGAAAATGAGTATGTTTCGAGTTTCCCACGATAATATGCGAAAATTAAACGAGTTTTTTTAATTTTCTATTAATGTCATAATGTCATTAATGTCATTAATGTCGAATTTCTAATATTTCAGCCACAAGCACAACTGCACAAGTACTTAACGTGATCATTGCACCCTTTAATTCTGGGCAAATTTTTTACCATGCGGATTTCATTTCAGCACCTTAATTTAGAAAAAGCCGTTGCTATGTAAAAAAATGCATTACACGAAAATTATTTAATTGGTCTATATTTATGTAATTAATTTGAAAAAAAAGAAATTAAAAAAGCAGCTCTAGTAAAAAGATTTTTTTTTCCCATAAAACATAATATATATATTTATTTATTTATATATTGCACATATAAATTTAGTCACATACTATTCAAAAAAGAAGAGCACAATAACAGAATGAGCGCGCAGCCAGCTGGTCGCGACCCGTATTATGGGGATCGCCGCGCATCTCCTGCTCCTCAACATTATCACGATCAAGCATACAGCGACTATGGCCCACCAATGCAATCTAAATCTCCGGACCTTTTAGTTGACCGCATGAACAGTCTACGAATTGGTGACAATCAACAATATGCTCTACCACCACGTTCAAATTCTACACCGGTTACAAGCAATAATTTACTTCATGCATCTCCTCCACAAAGAGCGATCTCGCAAAAGTCTTCTCGTCCTCGTCCGAATCAAGAACGAATACCGCCTCAATACGAACCACAACAAGACGAATACCAAACTTACAATTACCAGGATGGATATTATGATTATCCTCAGGGTTCGCGACCTCCTTTGAATCAAGATAACCAAATTCCTCCTCAGGATCCTTACTATAATAGTAATCATTATGAAAATAGAGATTATTATCCACCCAGACAGCATTATGATCCTGCAATGAGATATCCGGAGGATCAGGCTTATGCGTACCCTCAAAAGCAATATGGTTATGACCAAGGAGCTTATGATTATCAAGGATACAATTACGATCCTTATCAACCCGAAGGTGATGGGTATTATAATGGACCACCTCAATACTATTACGATTCAAACTATAATCCAAATTACGATCCAAATTATCCACCTCAAGGTTATCCACAAGAGGGATATCCACAAGAGGGATATCCGGTAGATGAATTTGGTCAACCAATACATTATGACCAATCTAATAGAACATATTCAGATAGTGCAAGTAATATATCATCCGCAACAAAACAAAAAGATCCTGCTAAAGCAGAAGAAAAACCTTCATATGCGCCTGAAGCTATAGAAAAATATCGTCAAAAGGCTAAAGATAGTGGGGATCCTGCTACATTATTTAAGTTTGGTAATTATCTAATTGAAGCTGCTGGAGCTACAGATGAACAAGATCCTAAAAGTGCTAAGAAGAAAAAGGATGCTTTACTTCAGGAAGCAGTTAAGATTATTAAACGTTTGGCAACGCAAGGAATAGGATTTGGTCGCCCAGCATATCCTGACGCTCAATTTTATCTTGCAAATTGTTATGGTAATGGATCATTAGGGTTACCCATGGATCCTGATAAGGCTTTTAACTTATATATGCAAGCTTCGAAACAAAACCACGCTACCGCTACTTACCGTACTGCTGTATGTTATGAATATGGTGCTGGAACAAAACGCGACCCAAATCGTGCTACTCAATTCTATAAAAAAGCTGCTGCGTTAGGTGATACAGCCGCCATGTATAAACTCGGTATTATAATGTTAAGAGGATTATTAAACCAAAATCCAAATCCTCGTGATGCTGTTATATGGCTTAAACGGGCGGCGGCCAATGCTGATGAAGAGAACCCACATGCACTACATGAGTTAGGTTTATTACATGCAAAACCTGAAAAAGAACCTCCAGAAATTCCTTCATTAATTAGGAGTGAAAAACATGCTATAGAAGAATTTAAGAAGGCGGCGGACCTGGGTTACGCACCTTCTTGTTTTAAATTGGGTTGTTGTTATGAATACGGTCAATTAGGATGCCCTGTTGATCCACGCCAATCAATTAGATACTATTCTCGTGCTGCTGAAAAAGGTCACTCAGAAGCAGAATTAGCATTATCTGGGTGGTATTTAACTGGATCAAACGGTATATTAAATCAATCTGATACTGAAGCGTATTTATGGGCGCGTAAGGCTGCTGATAAAGGACTTGCAAAAGCAGAATATGCGATTGGATATTTTACTGAAGTAGGAATAGGTGTTAAAGCAGATATTGAAGAAGCGAGGCGTTGGTATATGCGCGCTGCAGGTATTTATGACCAAATGTTGCCAATGAAGGAAAAAAAAAATGAATTTATATTAAAGAAAATCTATTTGAAATTATAGCTCAGGGAAATAAGAGAGCAATGCAACGTCTTAAAGAATTGAATTTCGGTCACGCAGGTCGTGCAAAACCGGCAAAATACACAAGAGCGCAAGCAAACAAAGAAGACTGTACTATATCTTAAAATTAATTTCGTAAGTATTAAAGTTATTTTTATGATAATTTTGTACAAATATAATACATACTAATAAAGCAAATTTTTTTTAATCTTAGTTATTATTATTTATTTATGTAATAACCATTAACAATAATATCACATTTTTGAGTATAACTAATATACTCACTTTTTATAATATATATGGACTTTTTTAGAATATTTTTTTTTTGTTATTATTTAATTAATTATTTTTTGTTTTTGATTTATTTAATTAAATATATAGAACCTTTGTTTATAATATTGGTAATTAAAACAAAAATTATCACATTATCGCTTGTTCGAAATTAATATTATTTTTATTAAAAATTGAAAGTATCCTATTAAAACGTCACAAATTTGCTAAATTTGTCATCTATAATTATAAAATCTATTGCTAAATTGTCTTTAAAAGTTGATTTCTTACTAATTTTTAATATATAATTTTTTTCTTTTATATATAAAATAACTTTCATTTTAGTAATCTTGTCAATATTTCACGAATTTTTTCATTTTGTTTATCTTCTTCACCCCATAATTTATATAATGAAATTATTTCTTGTACTATATCGGATATCTATTAAAAAAATAAGCAAGTTAGAAATAGTATTTCCTTTTCTTTTTGTGAAAAAAGAGAAAAAAATTACATGTTCAAGATCGACATTTAATTGAGCAAACCATAATCTAATATCTTTTACTTTTGGAGTTTCATTAGCGGTGGTATTAGTATTATTGTTACTAGCAGCAGCGGCAGCACCCCTTTTCGCACCTCTTGTAGTTACGCCAGCAACACTATTGTCATTCGCAGTACTCGTAGTTGATGTTAGAGAATAATCACCATATTGCGCACCTCCTCTAAGTGCTATTCGTAAATAAAGAGCAGCAGCAGCAACAACATGTGGTGGATATAACAGACACATATCAGTTCTATAAGAATCATTTATAACATACCAAGCCCATTGTACATCTTCGTTTTTTGTGCCTAGATCTTGTGCCAATGTCATTAATGAACGATATGGATGATATACTATCATGTTAAAATCTAATTCTTCTAATAAATAAAATTCCATTTCTGCTACTTTTTGATTCTCGTATGTAAAGTTTTCCCCTCTTTCTAATTATATAAATAGATAGGGTGTTTAGGATATTTACTTTTTGTAAGAATGTATACTTGCATAATTAATTTTACCTTGCATAATTGTTTTCATATCCGTGATAATAGCTTTGATGTGTTGTGGAGATTCTTCAATTTTACATGCTAGATACATACAAGTGGCGGCGACTAAATTAGGTTCTGTATTTCTAAAACTATTCCTTTTTAAATAAAAATGGATGTTCAGTATGATAATAAATATAATAAATAAAATTTCAAAAACATTTTACGATCTTAAGTTTTACGCTTACTTTGTGTAAAACCGTTTGAAGTAAGTAATGGCAGTAGCAATAATGACTTGTCGTACTTGAAGTCTTCTTCCAAGATCGGTTATTACTATTACATATTTTGACAAATGAAATGTTAAAATGTTAAATAAAACCGGTATATAATTAAATAAGTGATAAAATTAACTTACTTTGAGCGAACCATATGTTAACTTTTATCAAATCTTGTTCATTAACATATTGTCGATCTATTTTTCTGCAATCAGCAAGAGCCTGACGACTAAGCAACCAATTCGTCCTAAACGAAGCAAAAAAATCATTGTTTATTATTAAACAAAACATTTTATGTTTAACGTAATATAAAAACTTACCCATGAGTCGAAGTCCAAAAATTTGCTGCCATCTTGACAAAAATTGAACAATGTAAAAAGAAGGTTCTAAATAAACAAAGTTTTTAAAGTTTGTTGATCAACAGTTCAGCACACTATTTGCACTAACAATGGTATTTGTTCTAATTACCATTTCAAGTTAGGATTTTGTGCTACATAACGATTGTACTAGATTGATAAAAAAAAAACGTTTTTTCGCGTCCCTTATCCTGATTAATAAATATGTTGAATATGTTGAATTATCCGTGCAATTTTATTTTAAATTCTACTCGTGGATTTAGAAAGATGATACTGCAGAAAAGAATAAAGTGCATAACTTTGGTTAAACAACGAAATTTATATGATACTCGTTCAAAAATAGATTATAGTATACCAGTACGTGTTAGGTTTGCACCCAGTCCATCAGGTTATTTACACCTTGGAGGATTAAGAACCGCATTATTTAATTATTTATTAGCACGTAAAACTGGTGGAAAATTTCTTTTAAGAATAGAAGACACGGATAGTGTATTAAAAGTTTTTTTATTATCTTGTGTCATAAGTTGATTGATGTGTATTTTGATAACAAATGAAGATTTTATAGGCACGATTTGTTCCTGACGCTGTTGATGACTTGGTCTCTGTTTTATCATGGGCAGGTTTATCTTTTGATGAAGGTACGTACACTATTATATAAGACTTTGGCTGATACTCATATTCTTTTATAACTAACCTATTAAAAGGTCCAGGAAAAGACGAATCTCTTGGCCCGTTCTATCAAGTATTTTTTTTTTATTTAAATTGGTTTGATTGAATTTATATGAAATATTTAATCAATTTTTTCTTCACAAAGTCTGAACGAACGAAGATATACAAGGATCATGTGGACAAGTTGATTAATGTAAAGATTTATATATCTAAGAATTAAAACGAATTCATAAAATTCAAGCATGATGAGAATTTTTTAAAAAAATCTTTGGTTAGGATGGAAACGCTTATAGATGTTTTTGTACTTCAGAAAGATTACAACAAATACGAAATATAGCTCAAAAGTCTGGAAAAGGTGTTGCTTATGATAGACATTGTTTATATTTAAGTCAAAAAGAAATTGATCAAAAAGTATCAGAAGGAATTCCTTTTACAGTTCGCCTCAAGGTAATTTCTTGGAGTTTTTTATGGGTCAAAAAAAAGATGCTATTTACAATCACATGCAATGTTTTGATAGACTCCTGAGGGTGTCGTAACTGTAAATGATTTAGTCTACGGAATTGTGGAATTTAATGATAAACATATTGATGATACTATTCTGTTAAAAAGCGATGGATATCCAACGTATCATTTAGCTAATGTAGTAGATGATTATTTGATGAGAATAACTCATGTATTACGTGGAGAGGTGAATTTTTTTTTCATATATGCATAAAAAAATAATTTTTTATTGATTTTTTTATTTAATTAGGAATGGTTATCTTCTACACCAAAGCATATAATACTTTATAAATTATTTGGATGGGATTTACCAAAATTTGCTCATTTACCGTTATTATTAAATCCTGATAAAACCAAATTATCAAAAAGATTAGGAGATGTTAAAATAAAAAATTTTGCCGAAAAAGGTTATTTACCTGAAACTCTTATAAATTTTGTTGCATTATTAGGATGGAGTCCTGATAATTCAAAAAAAGTTATTTTTTCAATGAAAGAATTAATTTCTGAGGTATACTTAATCATTTTATTTTATTTATTTATTTACTTTTCCTTATTTAAATTAATTTTCACAAAAATATATATACATATATATATATATATATAATATTTTAGTTTACATTAGAAGATATTGGACGATCTGGTTCTGTTGTTATGAATGATAAGTTAGATTGGTTAAATAAACAACATTTATTACATAAAACAGAATCTAAAGACGGATTAAAAGAAATTGTAAATTTATTAAAAGCTTCTGTTAAAGAAACATTTGGAGAAAGGTATTATACTATTCAAAATATTCCCTTTTTTTGATGATCAAGAAGTAGTTGATTCATGTGTTGTTATTAGATTGAAATCGACAAAAGATAATTATAGATTAGAGGATGAATATCTTTCAAATGTTATTATGACAATAAAAGTAAGTATGACCTATTCTACAAAATTTCCAGGTTTATTGATTTATAAAATAGGAACCACTCTTTTTTTTGAATTATCATAGGATCGAATTAGGAATATTAAAGAAATACCAAAATTATGTGAATATTTTTTTGTTAATCCGAATTATTCCTCACAAGAATCACGATCACTGAGAAAGATAATTTCCAATGAAATTCTAAAATCGACATCTGATCTGATTTTAAAAAAATTAAGCGATCTTAAAGATGATGAGTCGGAATTTCAAATCGATAATATTAAATCAATCATACAAAATATTATTCTTCAAACTGGTTATAAACAACGGGAAGTTTTGATGTCTTTAAGATATATTATAACCGGAATTAAGGTAAATTTTTATTTATTTGTTTATTTGTGTAAATTATGAATTATATCAATTACTATTGTTATTGTTGTTATGCATATTATTATTAGGTTGGTGCTGGTGTAGCAGAAACAATGAAAACGATTGGAAAAGAAACTTGTTTAAAACGTATTAATAAAGTATTAGAATCACTTGATGATTAAAAATTTTTTTGATCTTAAAAAAAAAAATATAAATAAATAAATAAATAAATAAGTAAATAAATAAATAAATAATGTTTTTTTAACTGATTTATATAATAAATTAATGCAATTAATTGATGATAAATTATGTAAAAAAAAAGCTCGACCCGTGTATAAATGATTGATTTCATAGGTCCAGCCAATCCTTTTATTCTAATCTACATGTCGGTTTATTCCCAGAAAAGAATAATAAATAACCTTACGGGGAAATTTTATTTTGTTTTGACATTCTGACTTAACCAATTCAATCCTTCAAATAACCCCTCCCCAGTAGTTGCGCAAGAAGGATGGACATACCAAGAACGTTCTTTCATGCGATGTAAACCAAGTTTTTCGGTTACCTCTGCAGGAGACATGGCTATAACAAAAGATATTAATAAATGTTTTATATTTATTAATTGGAAAGTAAATAAAAATATACACACCTCCCGGTAAATCTTGTTTGTTGGCGAATACTAATAATAAACAATCTCTCATTTCGCGATCTGAAATAATTTTATGTAACTCTTGACGAGCTTCATCTATTCGATCTTTATCTTGAGAGTCAACCACAAATATAAGTCCCTGAGTACCAGTATAATAATGACGCCATAATGGACGAATTTTATCTTGACCACCAACGTCCTAAATAAAAAGTATAATTTAATGAATAAAGTCTAGATCTGCAAATTATATAATAGTTCATATACTAACCCAAACATTAAATTTAACATTTTTGTATGTCACCGTTTCTACATTAAAACCGACTGTAGGAATTGTTGTTACGGATTGATTAAGTTTTAATTTATATAAAATCGCTTAATAATCACAATTGTTAATTTAATAGTTAATGATAATAAAAATTTTAAAAAGATACGATTATTCGTCAGTCTTGTACTAAAAATATTTTAGGATAGAACGATTAGAAAACCTGAAACAGTTTCAGATTATAACTCTTTTATTAAAAAAGGATACTTGTTTTACCGGCAGCATCCAGACCAAGCATCAAGATGCGCATTTCTTTATTACCAAAGATCTTTGCTAAAGCTTTTGAAACAGTTCCACCCATTGTACTGTTGCAAGGGATTAGATTGGTTTTGATTAAAAAAAAAAGGTTAGGTCTCTTAATTTCCGCGATGACAAATAAAGTCGGAGAAGAGGATTCGAAGAAAAAAAAGATGGAAAATAGCTGGTTATTGCGCGGAAGTTATTTCACTGCCGGTGATATTATACAGTAAAACCACAAGGGAAACACTAGAGAGTAGATTTAAATGATTTAAAGATTTTTTTTATTTTAACCTTTTTGACCTTTACCAGTTTAATTTAGATCGACATGGTACAAGATGAAACGTAAGGCTACACAGAATTTTATTTTAATTCTCAAAATGAATTTCGGATCTGATATGTATATGTTTCTTATAACCGAATTCTATTTATTTACCCTGGTTGGTATTTTTAATTTACATTAATGATTATAAGTGGTTAATCGAGATTGAATGAATATTAAGGCGTAAGTGACGTAGTAAAATAACAGCCCAATTTATCAATTTATGTAAATTTCTGAAATTAAACACAGTTCGAAACTTCGAATACTAGTACAAGAATCATGATCTTTAGCCTTACAAGTTTTTTATCCATTTAATCATCAATTACATATTAATAATATTCATAACGATATCGTTGGTTTTTCATTAACAGTTAACAGTTAATAGAAGGACGACTAGGAAATTATTATTAAGAAGGATATAAATTGTACAACAAAGGAAGAGCTTCTTGTTCTTAGCTAGCCTAATCTTAACTCATGATAAATGGAAAATTTTGTGCACGTGGAATCAATTTTGCATTTCGCTCATAATTTACTTTTAAAAGCCATATTTTTTATGTACGTTTAATCTCCCTCCCCCATATCTACATTGGCAAATAAATATTTGTCATTTACTTCTTAAAACAAGGATTAGAATAGACTAAATTAACCAAATGTTATATTTAACTCTTTGAATTACGATCAAACGAGGTTATGAATTAATTAAAAAAAATTAAAAAGAAAGCGCCCGGAGTGGGGCTCGAACCCACGGCCTTAAGGTTTCGGACCGAAATTGTCGGTTAAAAGCCTCACGCTCTACCGACTGAGCTATCCGGGCTAATTCCTATTTATCTGGACAATTTTATTTATCTTTTTCATATTTGCCAAGCTGAGAAATAGGACTTTAAACGTCACAATGAAACAACCGTACTTTTGTGAAAATATAACATATCGAAAATTTTAATATAATTCATTTTTAATGGCAGGATGTGCATATTGGGAAGATCAAAAAGTTAATAAGTTATGCTATAACTTTAAAATAGAAATAAAATATACCTTTTATTGGTATTAAATAACACAAGTTTTAAAATTTAAATATTAACATTTATAACTGCCAACTTATATTGTTAATTTACAAAATTTTTTTGCAAGCATTCAATTAGAGAGGTCTATTATAAAATCATTATTATTTTTACCTTATGACTAATGTAATCTGATTATATTTTTTATTATGTATAATCTATATATTAAAAAACACTGCAATCACGTGGGCGTTATGTTTAGATTAACCATATAAATAAGTCATTTGAATTGTGTAACCCTACTCCTATTCGTCGCCAATGTTACACAAGACCAAAAAAGGAAATTTTATTTCTGGCGAAAAACTGAAATTTTGGGTTACACGGAATTCCATAAAAGGAAATTGTCGGTTATGCAAATTTCCAAAAAAGGAAATTTTGTCTTCTGTTACTTTCAGAGAAATTAAAAAAATTGTGTTGCTCAAATTTCCAAAAAAGGATATTCTTTGCAGATCTTTTAATTCTGGCCGGAATTACATATTAACTGTTGTTGTAGACAACAGGTGAACACTAGTATATTATTAAATTAATATAATTTTTAATTTTTATTAATTTAATAGTATATACCAATACTTTGATAGAATTTATTTATTTATTTTTTTTAAAAAAAATTAATTTATCTATTTTTATAGTAAAATAAAAAAGTTTAATTTGTAAAATATGCTATATTATAATAAAATAATTTATATATTAAAGTTTATAATTTTATGGTTTATTACATTAAAAAATAAAGTTTTTATAATAAATTTATAGCAAATAGTATTTTTTATTTTTGTAAATCATCTGATGTAATAAATAAATAATCTATTACTATATAATATAAAATATAAAGAAAATCTACATATAATATCTATTGGCCATTTATCCTATTATTAATAACCAATTAAATGTAATTTATTAGTAAAATATTTATTTATTTATATTGCTTAATACTTAGTATAAGTAATAAGCTATATAGTTTTAAATACTAAATATTTAAGAATTTATAGTATTTTTATTTAAAAAATTGTATAATTAGTATCAAATTTATGTATTTTATAATATTTTAATTTGATAATAAATAAATTGATTTTTGGATAAATAAAAATAAATTCTTTTATTAATAATAAAAATAGATTTTAATAAATAAATTTAATAAACTAATTAAAATTATAATTATTAAAAAAAAGTTATCTTAAAAAACCAAAAAAATTTATATAAGTTTTTAGTTTTTATATAGAAAAATATAAATTAAAATAGTATGTATAATACATTATAAAAAAACTAAAATAATCAATTAATAATTATGCTATTTAAATCTAAAATTACCAATTTTAAATTTTAAATTTCAAATTATATTAAATTTTAGCAATATATATTATATTATTTTATAATGATTATTTTAAATTATGTGAAATTTTTTTATTTAAAAATTGCAACCTGTTTTTTTATTAATAAATTTACAATATTATATCATTATATAAGTATTATATATATTTAAATCAATATCACAATTTTCAGAATTAAAATTTATTTTTTATATTATAAATTTATAATTTATTTTATATTTATTTTTATATTAATTTTAGAAAATTTCTTAATTTACACTGGATATTTATATATACATTATATGATTTTATTAAAAAGGTATGTAATAAAAAATTTTTTATTACACATATTTTAATTATTAATGGAAAGTTGGTTATTTAAATAATATTTAAAATTAAAATTTTTAAATAGTGATCGCATCTATAAAAATTAATAAAAAAAAAAAAAAAAAAAAAAAAATTTTAAATAGTAATATATGGTGTAATATATTTATAACTATAAAAGATATCAAAACTGTAGTCTTAATATTCAAATTATTATGCATTTAAAAAGTATTTATACTTAAAATATATTTAAATATACTTAAATATACTTTAAAAAAAAAAATTGCATTATACTTATAATATAATATACTTAAAATTTTTCCAAATACTTAAAATATCATTACTTAAATAAATATTTGGGAAATTTAAGTATATAATATTCTTAAAGACAAACATATTTAAGTATTTGGAAAAATTTTAAATACATTATAAGTATATTTTAAGTATGATCCAAATTGGATCTATTTTAAGTGAACTAGTTGATGATCAGAATGTTGATCATCAAAGTAAGCCATGTGTAAGTGAGATTTCGATATTGTGCGGTAATTTACAATAGAGCTGTAAAAATAGAAAAACATATCATTTATCAATAATACTTTAGAACAATAACATGTAACAAAATATACTTGCACAAAGTTTACTATAATGGGAAAGCTTTAAACATTATTATTTTTAAACTTTGGCTTCAACACCATAGAGTTATGATATGAATTACCATTTACGGTATAGGTAAATTAAGTTTCATTACAGTATTACGGATAATAGTATAAGCTCCGTATTGCCAATTCCGATAATGATTAATATTAGATAATGATTATGAAAGAATGAATGATTGCTCTTTCCAAAAGTAATCATCCCCAGAAACAATGTTGAACTTAGAGCGCGTCAAAAGACGACGACAGTTGTCCTATTGTTACGGCGGAAGTGTTATCAATGCCGACCAAATTTTATGATAATGCTAAATTTAAAATTGGAATATTTTTTTTCGGTCATTTGAATCCTTCAAAATGTTAATTTCTAATATTCAACTAACTACATTGCATACATCCAAAGAAAAATATTTTTTTTTTATTGAATTATTTTCATGTGATAAAATAAATTTATGAATATTATTAAATGAATTATATGTGTTGTACAGATGAATTGTATGGCCACCGAATTGGAATTATAATATTAGATATTAATTGCTAAATCCGGGTTTATTATGAAAAACCAATTTTGAATAGTGTTAAATGAAATTTTGTGCAAATTAATCCTCTAAATGATTTGTCCTTGAAAATAAGAAAGTTCATTGTTGATTCGTTTCTTTAATTTTTCCTTCGAGGATAATCGTTGCCCCATTTTCCGATAAGACGATAAGAGATTAACAAATTCTATCAAAACCGGCATTATCCGGTTTATCCGGTAATACTTTTTTTATCAAGCCGCATTTCATTGAACTTCCAATAGTCAGCCACTTATTTATTTAGCGATTGTAATAATCGGTTCAAAGAAATTATTTTTGTGTTACATTAATTCAATATTTAAATCTGTATTTTAGGTTTTTTTTTTTTTTAAAAAAAAATTTCTCATTATTTAAAAAAAAAATTTAAATTATAAGAAAAAGGAAAAAATTATGGAAGCTATTGTAAAACAGTGTAAGAAAGCTTGTCCTTTCTTACATAATTCTACTACTGCCTCTCTTCGTAAACTTTCTCGCATGCCAGCTCACGCTGGTTTTACTTCTGAAGCTGGTAATGTGCGAGCTAATGCTTTGACTATCATGGCACAAAAATGTCCGGTTATGGGCAAAGCTATGGCAGTTCAAAGTAAAAATTATTTACATACTTCGGCTAGATTGGCAAAACAACCTACTCTTCCTTTGAGACAAGCTTCTTTGGTTAATAATGAAAATGAAGCTTGCGTTGCTGCAGCGGCTATGTTAAACCAATTTCCTACGATTCACTCAACACACGCTAAACCATTTGACTATGAGGCCCTTTATAATTCTGAATTAGAAAAAAAGCATCAAGATAAAAGCTATAGATACTTTAATAATATTAATCGTCTCGCTAAACAATTTCCAAGAGCTCATACTGCTAATCTACAAGAAGAAGTTACTGTCTGGTGTAGTAATGATTATCTTGGAATGGGAAGAAATCCTTTGGTTATTGATAATATGCAGTAAGTTCATCTTTTTACTTATCAAAATTTAACTTTATTAAAATTTAAATTAACTTTATATATATTTATTAAATATTTAGAAAAACTTTGAACAAGTATGGGGCAGGTGCTGGTGGTACCCGTAATATTGCTGGTAACTGTAATTTACATTTACAGCTTGAAGCTGAATTGGCAGATCTTCATCATAAACCTGCAGCACTCGTTTTCTCCTCGTGTTATGTTGCTAATGATGCAACATTAAGCACATTAGCATCAAAATTACCAGGATGTGTGATTTTTTCGGATTCGTCAAATCACGCTTCGATGATTCAAGGAATCAAACATTCGGGAGCTAAAAAAATGATCTTTAAACATAATGATTTACAAGATCTTGAAACAAAATTGCAATTAGTTGATATTCATACACCAAAAATCATTGCATTTGAGAGTGTTTATTCTATGTCAGGATCAGTTGGTCATATTGAAAAAATTTGTGATCTCGCCAAGAAATATGGTGCAATTACATTTTTAGATGAAGTTCACGCTGTTGGTATGTACGGACCTCGCGGCGGTGGTGTAGCTGAACATTTAGATTTTGATTTAAATGCTCGTTACCCCCATGCAAATAATGGAAGTATCGTTGATAAAGTTGATATTATCTCCGGTACTCTTGGCAAAGCTTTCGGAGTTGTGGGAGGCTACGTAGCTGCTTCATCTGCTTTAATTGATATGATTAGATCTTACGCTCCTGGGTTTATCTTTACTACCTCTCTTCCACCTGCCATTGTAGCTGGAGCTAAAGCCTCTATTCAATATTTGAAAGAATCTTCAAAAGAACGTGAAATGCAACAAATTAATACTCGTTTACTTAAAAATCGTCTAGCTCAATTAGATATCCCTGTAGTACCAAATCCTTCTCACATTGTACCTGTACTTGTTGGTGAAGCGGAAACTTGCAAAATTGCTTCTGATCAATTATTACGTGAACATGGTATTTATGTCCAATCAATTAATTACCCTACTGTAGCTAAAGGAGAAGAAAGATTGAGAATTACTCCTACTCCTGGTCATAATGAAAAAATGGCTGATTATCTGGTTAATGCTCTAGAAACAATATGGAGAAAAAATGGTTTTAAGAGAGTTAATGATTGGAAAAATTTAGGCGGAAGAGCTGGAGTTGGTACTAACGCTCCAAATCCTAAACCTATTTGGACTGATAGCCAATTGAGACTTTTATCTGGTTACGGAGCCACCGAAATCAGACCTCCCAATGTCCATTCAACTGCAGAAAATAATCCTCGGGCTATTGGAATTGCTACATACTAAAGCTGTGTAGCAAAAACTGCAAAAGTTGTATTTAAAGTATATTTATTCTCAAAAATTAGTTATCTAAATTTATTATTAATATGTTATGTTGATATTAACATGTTATATTTAATGTATTGTTATTATTTAAATAAATCAAATAAACTTTTGGGAATTATCATAAATTTTGTTTCTAATTGTCACTTAATAACTAACCCAATTTATATTAATGTTTACGCTGATCCTTATTATATCTGAAACAAATTAAAAAAATTTGCATAAATAATGATTGACTGATTAAATGTTAGAACGTGGCAACACGTCAATTACTGGATTGTCAAATGAATTTCTTATTATGGCCGTTTAATTTATGTTTGAAAATATGTTGTGCTCAATAAAAATTTATTTTATTCACAGTATAACCAAAAAAGCAAGATTTTTATTTAACGATGACACTAATTTAGTTTAAGTAATTTATATTAGTAATTCCTAATAGCATAACTAATTTAGTTAATTTTCCCTTGGCGTTTTTAATTTAGATAAAATATTACACTAATCTAAAACATCTATTCTAAATTTGATAAATTTATTCGCATTTTTTTATGCAGAAAATAGTTATCTTTATAAGGGAAACAGTATATATTCCATTACCCAATTATTACATATCTGACTTGACCACCTCCCCGAATTTCTTTAATTTTGCCACAATGTCTCAAAATAGATATTATAGCACGACCATTTGCATCCATCTTAAAATTGATTTTTTGATTTGTTGTTTTAAGATCATTCTCGGTAATAAAGTCTTTACCTTAATTACAAGGTGCAATCATTTTTTTTATTAAGAATTACGAGTTAAATTGCCATTTAATGATAAATTAGTAAAATACCTCTTGTTTCTTCATTATCGGCTTCTATATATTCCTAAAAATCATCATCAATTAATGTATATCTAATTTATTTTAAATAATCAGGTTTTTATCTTACCCAATATTTTTGTTTCATAATATGGCTTAGAGAACTCTGCTGAGATTTGAGAATAGTATATTTTTCCCGAACGACTTTATTAAAATCGTCAATAGCCTCATTTACTTTATCACGTGATATACGATTATTATGAATATATCTAATAAGATGGCAATTAAAAAAAAATTAAGGGAAAAATCTTATTTATAATATTAATTAAAACATACTTTGGTACACGTTCAAACTCCGTTACAGTGACATATGATAAACCTAAAGCTATAAAAGTATCATTTGTTGGTTTCTGAGGTACATAAAATGGATTCTCTTCGATGTACGATAAATCAATTTCCTGTAATGTATCTTGTTCTTGTAATTTGCTATTCCTACATAAAACAATTATTAATACTAAAAAAATTGCGCGTAAATTGTTCATGCATATTTACGATGGATAAACGTTTGTCCGATCAAATGTCGGATATTCGTTATTTCCTGGTAAATGCTTTGGTAAATGTTGACTTATCCATTCCAGATGATCATGCTGTGACTGTAATTTAGCTCTAATTTCCTTTAAAAAAAACAGAGTACAAATTAATTAGAAAAATTATAAAAAAAAATACCGAAACTTCTTATGAAAATATACATCGGTTCTCTCTATAGCAGCCTTTTCTTCTCCTAAAAACTTTAACATTTGAGAAACGCGAGTTTCAATCTCGCTAAGTGAGTCACGTAATTCGCGAAGCAACTCGTCCGTTTCTTCACAAGTGCCTATGAAGGTGTTCTGTTATGCTGTAACAATGTAAAAATAAGGCTAAATAAAATTCATTTATTACCTTCTGTCCTGAAAAGCATACAATTCTTAAGTTCACGTATGCGGTCATTAAATTCTTTCATCATAGTTTCCATTGTTATTTTTAAATTTATTCGTAAAAGAAAAACGCGCAATACAGTACTCCTAAATACGATGCATAAAATCACGTGACAAATCAATTTCGCTCTCAAGAAGGCTTGTGGCGCAGCCAACCGATTGTGGTGCAACAAAAATCATAAAAAGAAAATGATTTTCTAATAATAAATTGCCATTAAAAGTTACTAGCTAGGTGTAATTTTTGTTGCTTTGAAAGTTTACTTAGAGCGACAAAGGCGGTTTTAAATATCGTTATTGACTTATTTGACAAAAATTTTTATTTCGCCGATCTATTTTTGGAAATGATTGGCAAAGCCTAAAATACATCATCTATATGTAAAGTCAAAATCGACATTCAATACCTTCTTCCGAATCCTAAGTAAACTTGTGGGGCAGATGAAAATACACCTCCATTATAAATTTAAAAGCTTTTATGCTAAAGAAAAAAACCTTAATGACCTTTTTTTTGAAAATTGCCGCGCCACGAACCTGCCACACAAAGGGTGCGTAAATTGATGAGACTGATGAGTCTGATCATTTTTTATTAGTCATTTCTTTTTTCAATAAACCTGTGAAACTTTTTTTTACGCAAAAAAACCATAATAAGTATGTCTACTATTGATACCATTGATATCCATGACGAGGTTAATCGCCTATCTGATATCGACGATGTTGAGAGACTCACCGCGAAAGAAGTAATTGATTTATTTGCATATTTCGTCAATAACGACAAATTACCTGAAGTGGTAAAAGGGCTTATTAAATGCAAAAATGATAAATATAAGCTTATGTTCTTGAGAAAAATGTTGACTTCTGGTATGTCTCAAAATAGAAAATGTGTTTTGAATTTGCCAATAATACCGAACACTTACTTATTCTTGTGCTTTTCTTTCCTGCTTCTTATCGTCAAACCCGCCCAAAAAAACACATTCGCGTTAATCGTAGAGCAACCAGATGCTGGTAAGCGATCGTAATAAATTTGGTCAACGCGACGCGAGTGAATCAACGTGTTTGATAGTTCATTTTAGTCTGCGCCGGGCTATATTAATAGTCCTAACCAATAATGTCTGTGAATAGGGCAAAGTTTTCCTACTTTAGATTCTTTGAAGGGAGTAATGGAAAACATAGTCGATCTTAAAGTAAGCAGTCTTGATTTTAAAATGGAACAGCGTTTTGAATGCATTATGCTTTGAAATCATCGTTCTATTCACTAGGTATGTTATTTATCTGATCCATCAATATTTTTGAAATGTCATTAAAAATTTGTGTTTAGGTACTTTTGTAACGGGAACTGAAAAAGGTGCATTTGTGAAGGAAAAAGGAATACATACTGAATTTCCACTTGATTTACTGCGGGTGGCAAAAGGAGTAGACGCGGAAGGTTTACAAATCCGCCTAACAAAGACGGAAATTTTTATCCAGATGAAAATGCAGTTCAACAATATTTTATGAGCGAATGCAAAGAACTAGAAAAATTTGCAAATGTACAAAATAGGCTTACTGTTGTTGAATGTTGATACGCATTCTTCACCGACATTAGGGCTTATTCATTCCGATTGGTTCACGTATAAATATGTTAAATGCTGTTGCCGTTGGTGAAATAAAGAAGCGAGTCGGTAATGATTTTCCCAATGCAAATATTGGACAAGCAATATCGTTTGGCTCCAACTTCAGCTACGTCGGAAATTTGTATATGTTGTGTTAACAGACTCTATTGTAATTAATATCTAAACTTGAATTTGCTTATTATTAACTTTCATGTACTATATGTAAATCTTATGTTATAAATTTACTTAATTGCTTTGATATAATTAGAATATAATAAATCTTCACAAATAACATTGGTTTATTCTCGAACTAAAAAATATAAATTACGCATCATAGATTTCGATCTCCTGAAATGCGCAGAATAAAATATAGGGAAAATTCTTGCCGAATGAATAAGGCTGTGCGAATATATATTTACATTATTTTTTTCTAAGATTCGATTTGCGTGTCATATCTCCGGGCATGCTATTATCATATCAATAAACAATATTCGGGTATGGATATTTTTTCCGGCAATTCTTATTTCGCATATGGGATTTGGGATATCTATGCTAAATCCCAAGATTACGGAATGACGAAATGCAGTGCGTAATTGCTGGTGAAAATCCAGGGAATGATTTCTCCTGCGAAATTTATAAGTGATAAAAAAAACCGTCTTTAGCTTTAGCCAGCAAGATAGATATTTTTTTTTCCGGTCACGAGAGTGATAAGTGGGCAGGAATTTCAGCTTTATCCGACGTGATTTGTCCTATCTTCACCACCTATACGGATGGAAGGGATCGTTACCCAAGTTAAGCCAAAATTTATTAATAGTTTATTATTAATCTTAAATCTCTCTATTAAGTGTTGCCCAAAATAAAAATTAAAACCTATATAATTATTTACAACAATAAAATTACCTAATTACAATTATTATTATAAAATTAATTATTGTATGAATTTCATATTAAACATCTTTATTGTCAACTATATTATTATTTCTTCTTTTTCTAATTCTTTATCATTTTGTTTTATATTTATTTCATCTACCTTTTCAATATAATCAATGTTTTATCATCAGGTAAACATTTTATATATAAATATCTCTTAAAATATATATATTATTACCCATTATAATAATAATCTAAAAATGAATTATAAGATTATTATCCATTTTATACAATAACAATCTGGCCATTACCCAATTTAACTAAAAACTTTATAATAAATTACCTGACTTAATTATGAAGTTTCTGGGATCCTAATTGAAAATACAGCAACTCAATGGGCTAAAGTTATTTTTAAGATGCATTTATGCCTCCACTAAGCTTCCATCCTATCTCTTCTAATGCATCCACTAAACCACTTATATATTTAATCTGCAAATATATTGTGCATTACAATTGCATTAAAAATTTATACAAGTTGTGTTCTATATACCCATTAGCTAAAGATTTAAAACTGTTTTCAGTATAACAAGCTTCAAGAACTACTCAGAAAAAACACACTAGTAACTTACCAGAATTTACTGAAAAATCTTCATTTAAAAAGCAGAAAACCTCAAATAATAATGGAAAATCACCTACTACTCTAAAGAAACTTATTAAAGAATTAACAATTGTATTAAGTATCACTGATACGTAACCCTAAATTGTATAATGCAATTATTATGACTGAAGACCAATTAGCAGCAATCACCTATAACTCTATGTATAAATTCAAATCAAGAACAGAATAATACTTAATATTTAATGTATAAGTTTAATTATACTAAGAGGCATGCCAGAAATTACATGATTTAGTGGGTGGTGAGGTCAGATCCTGCAATCAGGTATCACAATATACCTTTTATGGTAATAATATATCTTTTATAGTAAATAATATATAATTTGTTTATTAAAAAGCTTTTTTGCAATTATTTCACCATCTAAAAGTCCAATTTTAATGAATTTTTTTTTTGTTTTATAAAGTATAAAGAGAGCTACAAAATAAAAAAAAAGTTTATGCAAATTGAATTAATGGATAGTAAAATAATTGTATTCTAATATATATGTAATATATAGTAATTTATTTATTAAGAAGTTTTTTTGCAATTAATTTACTATCTAGCAGTTCAATTTTAATGAATTTTTTTTTGTTTTGTAAAGCATAAAGAGGTCTACAAAACAAAAAAAAGTTTATGCAAATTGGAGTATTGGATAGTGAAATAATTGTATTATAATATATATATAATATATAGTAATTTATTTATTAATATACTTTTTTGATAAAGGAAACAGCAATATGTGTTAAGCCATCTCAAATAATTCAAGATTTCATAATTAGCATGCCCCAAGCTTCATATCTTTATATGCCAAACAAGAGAGTATTGCGCAAACAAATTTCACGTATTAGAACTGAAAATATGACTCCACAACCACAATCATTACAAAATGTTGATGTTCTCACTAACCTACATGTAACTATTAGTGAAGAACCATTTTTAATAAAAGAACTAACATTCAATGAAGAAAATATTTTATGATTTTTTGCACAGTATCTAATTTGCAACATTTACAAAAAGCAAATTTCTGGATTATGGATGGCACTTTTGAGATACACTGGTCAAAAATCAATATATCGGGTAGCAGATATGTATCAGATATGTACCCGATATGTGTAGTATTAATGCAGAAAATCGGGTACCCGATATGTGTAAGATATATGTAAATATATATATCATATACATATCAGGTACCGATATGTATATGATATGTAAATGATATGTAGACGATATATATATTTACACATATCTTACACATATCGGGTACCCAATTTTCTGCATTAATACTACACATATTGGGTACATATCTGATACATATCTGCTACCCGATATATTGGTTTTTGACCAGTGACAGTGCCTACATTATTCCAACAAATGTATACTATTTATGCTCTTGTTGGTTGAGAGAATAATTCACGTGTTCTTTCAATAGTGTATTTTCTAATGACAAGCAAATCAAAAGAAAGCTATAAGTGTTATTTCAAGAATTAGTTGATTTTGGCGAGAAAAACAATCAAATTTTATCCCCACCTCTAATAATTAGTGATTTTAAACAAGCAGCAATTAATGCTGCACAAATGGAATTTTCAGACACTACTTACAAAGGATGCTTTTTCCATTTGTGTCAAAATTTTTTGAGAAAGATTTAAGCTTTGAGGTTAACTGTTAAATATAGTGAATCTGAAGACTTTAGTATTAAATTACACCATATTACGGCTCTTGCTTTTCTGCCATCCTCTGAGATTTCAAATGCATTTGATCAAGTTAAATCTTTAATACCTCCAAATGTAATAGAACTTGTCCAATACTTTGAAAATAATTATGTCTATGACAAAGTAATTAGACGCTGTTAACATAGACATAATCAATTTGTAATTCAGAACTCACCATAATTTCCACCAGTACTCTGGTCTGTATATAAGCTTATTGAAAGTGATTACCTATGAACAGAACCCCGCTTATTTCTAATAGAAGTCACCATAAAATTTTTAAGATTTATATGTAAATTTACCTTACTTCAAATTTTCCTTTTACTAAGTAATTTTACCACCTTTCCAGTTACATTTTTAAATCACATATATTTTTACCTTACAAATTCAGTAACATTTATAATTATAGATTATATAAAACATAATTTATTTTATACATTTAATACTTTTTATTTCTTTTAAAATTGGCCTAATTTTTAGATATAATTATTTTAAAAAAATGTAAAAAAGTTCCTATTTAAAATAAGTTCAAAATTAATCAATAGTTACAGATATATATATTATTTTTTGACAAAAAAAAAAAAAATAAAAAAATAACTTAATTTATCCCATTTACTACCCCAACCATCTACCTTTTTCGATTTTTACTTTATTTTATAATTTTTTATATTATACAGATATCCATAAAAAATTCTTTTTTACATATTTATTTTTTAATTTTACGTGTTTATGTAATAAATTTGTATGTGTCTGTATTTGTGTAATAAAATTTTACATATCCGTGTAATGAACTTATACTAAAAATAATATAATAAATTTTACTTATTTGTATAATAAAATTTTACGTGTCCGTATAATAAACTTGTAACTAAAAATAGTATAATAAATTTTACATGTTTATGTAATAAAATTTTACGTATCCATATAATAAACTTGTAATTAAAAATAGTATAATAAATTTTACGTGTTTGTGTAATGAAATTTTACATGTCTGTGTAATAAACTTGTAACTAAAAATAGTATAATAAATTTTACATGTTTGTGTAATAAAATTTTATGTGTTTGTATAATAAACTTTGTGCTAAAAATAGTATATACTAATAAATTTTACGAAATCATAAATTTTACCTTATAATTACAAATTACATTTTAAAATCCTATTTAATTTTACTATATACTTACAGTTACATAAAAAAAATTTACCACAGAATTACATTTACTTTTTTTAATTTATAAAAAATTTTATCTTATGAATTCAATCAGTTTTTTTGACTTTTTTATATAATTTTTACTTTAGACTTATAGGTGACTTCTATCGGGATCCTATTAGACTACTACTTTTTTTAATTTTCTTTCTTTTCCTTTCTTTCTCTTCCTTTATTTCTCTTTTCCTTCATTCTTATTTCCCTTTTTCACTTTTTTCTTCTTTTGTTTTCCTTTTCTTTCCTTTTTTTTTCTTTTCTTTTTTTTTCCCTTTTACTTCTTTTCATTTTTTACCTTTTATAGTTTTAACTTTTTTGGTTATATATATGTCTATGATATTTTGAAAATATATACCTTCAGATTTTTACTTTTTTTAACAAAATATTTCACTAATATTTTCAATTTTTTCTTTTGTAAATTTAAGATATCTATTTAAAAGGTTCAGATGAACTTCTGAAGAATAAAAAAACTAAAGATTTGTAAATATAAATCTTAGTTTTTTTTTTTAATATTATGAATGGTTACTAATAATTGTTCTTTTCTTTTTTTTAGGTTCAGGTGAATGTTCAAGTTTCAAAAATGGAAAAAACTAAAATTTATAAATTTTATAAATCTTGGTTTTATTTTTTTATTTTTTTAAAAATATTATAAATGGTTTATATTAATAATCATTCTTTTTATAGGTTCAGATGGGTTTTCGAATTCTGAAGAATTAATTCAATT